TATACGCTTGATTGACACTTCGATTGACTGATTAGAAGGCATATTTAGTCACGAGGGGTGGGATTTGATAAGACGTTTGGAAAAAGAAAAAAAAAAGAAAAAAATTAGAATGAAAAGAATGGGTAGTTGTTGAAAGCGCCGAGGGATTACCTACACGCCTGCTACGATGGAGAGTGTCAAAGCACCGAGGGATCACCTACACGCCTGCTACGATGGAGAATGTCAAGTGACGACAAAAGTGGGGACATTAGCGGAAGATAAGCACTTGATCCGTTAGTTCTGGCAAGAAGTCATGTTTTTAAAAATCAGTCACATTTTTATTTCGTTACGGACAAAGTGGCCTCGTGATAATGCTGTTGTGTTGTTAAACTAAAACGATGTTATGTGACCAAACAAAGATAAACTAAATTTTTTATTTGAAAGGAACTGATGTGAGAAGAAGAAAAAAAGAATTCGCTGTGTATTTTTTAATTTAATTCCAGATTCCGTGACACTGGCAATGTTTTGTTTTTAATTCTTTTTTTTTTAATGACTTACAGTGGAAGCGAGAGCATGAAGCGTCAATGTTTGTTTTTCTGCTCCAATTGATTACCGTGCCACTCTTAGAATCAAAATCATGATGGATTTGTCCGTATACAGAAAGGAAGACCAGGACTTGCCTTCACCAACTCACCAGATGCTTGCTGCCCCTGCGGAGAGCATCATGGCAAGACATGCGCATTCGTCCGCGGTCACCCCTGCAGAACTTCTACCGGCCACCTTAACAGACCGGGTGTTGGCGTCTGCTCCGCGGCGTGACGTCTGTGCAGACACCGACAGCACCACGACATCCCCTGTCCGACATTCCATCGATCGTATTCTGCGTCCGGCAGATCAAGGTGCGAGCCCCAAGGCGAGTCCGCGTGTTGACATTCTCAATAAGAAACACGAGACAATGGCGCGCGGTGAAGAGGATGACGTGACATCGAAAAGTCACGTGGTTTCAGATGGCCACAGTGTTGTCGTTCCCAAGCCTGAAGCGCGCGTCGCTAAAGACAATGGTGTCGGAAGTTGTCTAAATGTCAACGGCGTGAAATACATGGGTAAGCATGCGTCCGTCCTCTTAGCTGTATCGATATTTGCATGGGATTCGTGAGCGCGGAAACACATTCACAACAGCTAGACGTTACTTAAAGGTTATTCCATGTTTAAAGCTTAACTATAATAAGGCCTATGTTGATTAAACCAATTCTTATGAGGTAGGTTCTATTCATTTATAGTGTTGTTGTTGACTATATGTAGCAAAAATATTTTATTGACTCATTTGAGAAACACACATGGTTTATGTTTATGAATTATTTTGCTTTCAATTTATCCACCAAAAACCAAGCATTCTTAGATGATTACATTTCTTCAGTTTGGTTCATTTTTAATATTATTTGTATGGCGAACTTTGATATTCCCAGTTACAGATGCATAAACTTTTTTTTTTTTTTTTTTTTTTTTTTTTTTTTTTTTTTTTTTGTTGTTGTTAAACTTCAAGTATTAAACCTCTACGTCCAAGAGGCATTATGATATTCACAGACTTTACCGGAAACTCAGGATACAGCAAATAGCTTCAATGCCGTTCTGCCACTGCGCATGCCCTCTCTAAACATATCGTCTGCTGGCCAGTCTCAATATTAATCGCGCTCCTTCCAAAAGTGTGTTCATTTCGATTCGACCAACCAGTGATGGTCCATTGTCTCAATTCTACAATCATCGCATAATTCTAATTTAGTTCCATATTCTAGATAATCACGTACCGGCAGTTCAGTTGTTGTTTTTTTTCTTTTCAACAAGAGTCAATTTCCTGACCAATTGACATGATGACAGATCTTATTAACACTCCATGTTGGCCTAACTGCTATTGGCTTATTACTTTTATCTGCTCGCTAGGTTTTTTTTTCTTTTTTTTTTTTTTTTTAGGTTCCAAATGCCTAGTTCATATTGTTTTATAAAACATAAATTTGTTTTTGATTTTTTTTTTAACCTGCAACATTTGCCAACCGTTACAGCCCCTCCACCAAATTTCGTCCGTTATCCTAGTGATTAGAGTCTTAAATCACGACGGGTTCAACTCTAGTACACACTTTGTTGCCAGGGAATCGGCGAGAGCGCAGGCCCCTTGGGTGCGGTCTGGCTTTATCAGAAAAATATTAGTTAGTGAACTCATCACCGCAGCAGTAAATTACGACCTCTTATCACACAGGGGGGGGCCCGCTGCTTTGGTCGTCTGCATTAAAATTGGAGAATATCTGATGTTTGTTTATCCCGTACTTCCGTCGCTGGTCTCTCCCCCCCCCCGCCGCGCCCCCCCCCACCCACTCATTGATCGTCAGAGATTAGACTAACAAGAAAGTCAACAAACTTGTGTGGGGATCCACTTCAAAAAATTATTGCTATATTATCATTCATAAGAATTTAATCCGAGATCCGAGGAACCCATAAATCCCAGGGCAGGGACCAGATTTAATTATTATATTTTCAAAATTTTGGTTCAGGTAGTAAACGTCACGCAAGTCAACATTCGTATGTTTTATGGAGGGACATGTTACACGGTTTGGGGGGGGGGGGACTAGCAAGGCAGGCGATATGTTTGGTTTTTTTTTAAGTATGTCAAAGGGAATGGGTAGAGGGTCAAGGTTTGTCTAGAAGTCTTGAAGGTAAGGTTTTCGTGAAAATCTGATTAAAATACCAACTTGACAAAAAGTAAAATTATGTTTTTGTCAGAGCGGTTGTTTTGCACGCTTTGCTGGTAATAAAGTATGAGTTGACTGAGATAAGGAGAGCTGAGCGCAGAGCAGTAGAGTCAGTCAGTAGCGTGAGAGCTGTGTGATTAGACAGTTGAGCTGAGTTATAGTAGTCTGAGGACGTGTCTTTCTTAATGATGGAATACTATAGATATATATGTGAAATTACATTCATGCAAGGATTATTTATTAATATTATCAATATAAAGTGTGTTCAATAAAGTACTGTGAGTTTTAACTAGAATTGAGCATTCTTCTTTACGTGCCTGAATAATAAGTGAAAGAATGAAGAAGACTGAGTCGGCATCCTGAAGCGTTAATATAAGTAACCATACTACTGACATAACCCACAGCATAAGAAATAACATCCCACGCCATGTCAGAGTAGAGGTGTGTTACAGAGCTTAACCAAAACTAATTTCTACTCTGGGCTTTAATAGAGGCAGGTTTTACAGTACACGGCATGAATTGTGTCTGTGCAACATCACATCATGACATCATAAATTGTTTCTGTGCCACATCACAATCATGACAGCATAAATTGTTTCTGTGCCACATCACAATCATGACAGCATAAATTGTTTCTGTGCAACATTACATCATGACATCATAAATTGGTTCTGTGCAACATTACATTATGAAATCATAAATTGTTTCTGAGCAACATCCTATCATGACAGCATAAATTGCTTCTGTGCAACATCACACATGACATCATAAATTGTTACTGCGCAACATCACATCATGACAGCATAAATTGTTTCTGTGCCACATCACAATCATGACAGCATAAATTGTTTCTGTGCAACATTACATCATGACATCATAAATTGGTTCTGTGCAACATTACATTATGACATCATAAATTGTTTCTGAGCAACATCCTATCATGACAGCATAAATTGCTTCTGTGCAACATCACACATGACATCATAAATTGTTACTGCGCAACATCACATCATGACAGCATAAATTGTTTCTGTGCAACATCACATCATGACAGCATAAATTGTTACTGTGCAACATCACATCATGACAGCATAAATTGTTTCTGTGCAACATCACATCATGACAGCATAAATTGTTTCTGTGCAACATCACATCATGACAGCATAAATTGTTTCTGTGCAACATCACATCATGACAGCATAAATTGTTTATGTGCAACATCACACATGACATAATAAATTGTTTCTGTGCAACATCACATCATGACAGCATAAATTGTTTCTGTGCAACATCACATCATGACAGCATAAATTGTTTCTGTGCAACATCACATCATGACAGCATAAATTGTTTCTGAGCAACATCCTATCATGACAGCATAAATTGCTTCTGTGCAACATCACATCATGACAGCATAAATTGTTTCTGCGCAACATCACATCATGACAGCATAAATTGTTTCTGTGCAACATCACATCATGACAGCATAAATTGTTTCTGTGCAACATTATATTATGATACCTAAAATGCATGCAGGCTACCGTGTCGGAAAGTACACTTCTATGGACAAGGCACAAATACAAATTGGCCATCATTTTGTTGTACAAGAAGGTGTATATGTGGTAGATCATAAACAGGCTTTTAATTCATTATTCTGTTATTCTTTTGTGGAGTCCAATTCTGGAGCTTAGAGTTTGAAACTATAAATAACTTCATTTCTACAATCGCCTTGGCCTCCATCCATAGTTACCCGTAGGCCTATCCAGTTACCCCGATCCCAATTCACCTCAACGCCGTATTAAGTTGATCCTTTTTTTAATCGGATCCCTAGAAACCTCAGTCTTGTTACCTAGATCCTTTTGTTTCTCAGTATAAAAACACTTCAATTTACAGAAATTCTTAACAATTATTTTCTTTGGTCATAATTCTTTTTTTTTTTTTACACCACCGCTTACTGTTTTCCCATTCTCCAAACCAGGCCTGCTCAACTCAAAATGTAAGGCGGGCCGAAATACTTTATGGAAAAACTTGTACGGGCCAAAGAAAATAGGACATCGCTTGTGCGGGCCAAAAGAAGATAACACAGGGGGAAAGATATTAAGAAAATAATAAGAACAAATAATATTTCGTTACTTCGCGGGCCACAAAGTGGGTGCTGGCGGGCCGTATGTTGTGCAGGCCTGGTCTAAACTATTCAATCTCCTTTAATTGTAGGACTTTGTGTTTGGTGTAAACACGTTGGGCTTTTCTTTTCCAATTTTTTTTAAATATTTTTTTATAGATTTGAGTCAATCAAAAAGTGTAACTGGTATGATAGATGAAAACAAAAGGACTCCATTTATGGCAGACGACTCGATGGATGAATCATCCTCTGTTCACGATTTGTCCATGAAGACTTTGTCAAAGATGCGAACACAACGTGAGAACGGTAGGACGAAAGAGGGAGACTGCAACGGCAGAGATTATCACGGGACGTTGAAGGGAATCTCCAACAGGTTTACATACAGGGACAACCATTTAACAAAATATGATGCACCTCCAAATATCTGGACAGAGTATGTGGCGGGTGGAAAAGACAAGGCAGGGATTGAAATTCATAAAGACGAAATGAGACTAATTGATGAGCCAAAGGAAAAACTCATCAAAACGATGTACGAAAATCATCACCGCGTTGCTTCGTGTTGCCGCAAAAAGTTTGACGAGGAAGGGAACCTTCTTGTGTGTACATGTCCGCCTGGCATCGACGTGAAAGGGGGTCACATTCAAGGTACAAAAAGGGAATCTCATGACAGCTTCGAGAGTCAGCATTCCAGAAAACGTCAACTAACGGACGTCCACCACGACAGGATAGATTCAAGTAAAGAAATAGATTTGGGGGAACCGTCATGGGAAAGCTACACGGCGAGTTTTCTCGAAAAGACAGAAGAGCGCGTCCTGGAGAAACCTGGCAACGGCAATGGACATCATCGCAGAGAAGACGGGGTGGATAGCGTGACGTCATCCAATGAAAGCTCGCACGGTGCACACGGCATGAAGAAGAGGCGGGTTCGCACGACATTCACGACGGAGCAGCTGCACTCTTTGGAGGAAGTGTTTGCCATGACGCATTACCCGGACGCCAACACACGCGAGACCTTGGTGACGAGGATTGGCCTCAACGAGGAGAGAGTTCAAGTAAGTAGCTGGGTGGAACCTTGGTTTGTGTGAGGGGGTTCAATGGCATGTGTTTGGAAGTAAGGACAATCTCAGGGTCCAAGCCACGTCCCGCGGGCGAAATCTGGTCCTCAAAAAGCTTATACTAAAAGAAATACTCCGGCATTGGGCAACATGTCATTTCTATACGTATAATATAAGGTACTAAAACTATTGGGGAATTTTTTTTCTTGCATCGATTTACAAACAATGGCAAAAATTGAACATGAGAAGTTTTAAAAAACTAACAATTCTATCTTATTAAGACAACTAACAACTCTTTCTTATTTCCTCGTATTATTTTTTGTTGAACTTTATTTTATATTCTAAGCATATCACTATACCAAAACATACCTGTTCGACATTTGTTAACAATGGGAGCACATCGTATACCCATAAGGGCATACTCAGGTGCTTCTGAGCATAACGAACAAAAAACATATAACGAACGACCCCAAGAGGCAGACCACGTTAGTAAATCGAGAGCTGTATGTCTATGGTAAAGTTTCCATTGAAAAAAACAAAAAACAAGAATGCAAAACAACATTTGTTATAACTACACTTGACCGTTACACATTCAAAAATATCGTAGTCATAGTGACCAGATAAAGCAAGTCCAGGTTCGCGGTCGTATTTTCATGTTTGATTTTTTTTTCATGACCATTTTCAGATCTGGTTTCAGAACAGAAGGGCCAAGTGGAGGAAACATTCGCGTCTGCGAAATTTTGGCGGCTTACAAGACCTGAGGGACGTCACGTATGTGCCCGCGCCGAGACCTGTGCACAAGTTGGAGGGGGAAATCCATGTACGTAATCATAGTGAGGGAGGACTTTTTGGTTTTAAAAAGTAGTACCAGTTTCAAGGTTTGGGACGTAAAAAAAAGGGGAGGGGTGTGTGGGGTGTAAGGGCATTCGAAGAAACCAAGCACGGTTTTTAATTGTTGAAATGGGAAGACAATCCTGTGAAGACAATCCTTATTAACAGGCGCAAAAATGTTTTTTTTTTTTTTTTTTTTTTTTTTTTTTTCTTTTGGCTTTTTTTGTTTCTTTTTGTTCAATCCGAAATTGACCACCTTGTTATTTTCAGTTAAACACCAATTTTGCAGTGAAGTGAATTGGTTACATTTGGAGCCTTTTGTTTGGTCTCTCACCCGCTGTCACTCATAACTGTTTGATGAGATTTATAGGGTCTGATAACTATTAAATGTTTGAGTTTGATGAGATTTATAGGGTCTGATAACTATTAAATTTTTGAGTTAGATGAGATTTATATGGTCTGATAACTATTAAATGTTTGACGAGATTTATATGGTCTGATAATTATTAAATTTTTGAGTTTGATGAAACTTATATGGTCTGATAACTATTAAATGTTTGAGTTTGATGAGATTTATATGGTCTGATAACTATTAAATTTTTGAGTTTGATGAGATTTATATGGTCTGATATTGATAATTATTAAATTTTTGATGAGATTTATATGGTCTGATAACTATTAAATGTTCGATGAGATTTATATGGTCTGATAACTATTAAATGTTTTATGAGATAACTATTAAATGTTTGATGAGATTCATATGGTCTGATAACTATTAAATGTTTGATGAGATTTATATGGTCTGTAGTCTGATAACTATTAAATGTTTGATGAGATTTATATGGTCTGATAACAATTGAACGCACGATGCAACAGAGCTTTCAGTTTAAGAAATGTAATTTCCATCTTCCTCGAATGCTTCGTGAAGTGTTTGAAGAACCCTGTACCTGTATAAACGTAATGATGAAACCAGATTTTTTTTTTCCTCCCCCAGAAACAATCAAGACACGAGGTCTTCAAATCATTAACAGCCCAAAACCCTCCATACTTAATGGACACCTTGCCAGAAGACCTGGGGCCCACTTCTCCTGCATCGCATCCTGCTTTTCACTCTCACTACCCTCCATCTCTTCTGGGCCTACCGCCCGTATTACTTCAGTACTACTCACCGTTATTGTACCAGGCGAGCATTTTCGGCCCTGCTTTGGCAGCTCACGACAGGGAATACAGAAACATTCTAGGTCAAGGTTCAGACCTGACTGGTCGCCTGATGGGACGCTGGCATGGTCACGCGCGAATGGCCGAGGCGGACTTTGCGAGTATCCCGTCTTCTTCTCCGCTTCGAACTATCCCGAACATCCCAAGAGAACTTCTGGAATCTCATTTATTAAAATCTGCCGCCATGTTACAAAACAGCTACGCGTTTGCTCACCCTACGCCGTGGGCGAGAAGACCATCGTCGGACGGCTTGAACGAGACAACGGAGGAAGGCGCCAGGGTGGAGGCCTTAAAGAGAGAAGATTCGGGGATGTCACAGCTGTCAGAATGCGGAAATAATTATGTGCCGTCCACATACAACCCATTCCACACTCGTTGCGGTGCTGAGGATTCACCCACACCCCCCACATCTCCGCGGTCAGACAGTTCGAGTCCGGGCAAAGACGGGATGTCAGCTGGGGACGATGAGCTTGCAGAGAATGGCAGGTCTCCGGGACACCTACCCCCGGGTACGGGTACGTACTCCGTGAACTGAGCCACGTAAGCGTATTGGACTGATTCGAAAAACTAATTTATAACACCAAGCGCTGAGTTGTACTAAGTGCTTTAAGTTTAAGGCATTCCGTAAATATGAGGGTTTCAATTCTGCTACATGCATAACCCATTTCAGTTACACATTTATTTGATGACGAATATTTTATTCAAGAAAATAACAGATTCCACTAAAAGAATTGTAAACTTAAGAAATGTTTTTAATGGTAACCTTAAGAAATGTTTTTAATGGTAACCTTAAGAAATGTTTTTAATGGTAACCTCCAAAATGTAAAGTCCTGTTACGGCATCTACAACTTCTGGAAACTTCCTTGTTCTGATGGAATTGTACCGACGAAAGGATGCTCCATAAACCATATATCAGACTACAGGCAAGCAGACACGTATATGAAATATTAAGATTGGAAATGCCCAGCCATCTCTTCTCGTGTAAAAAATGTTTTTGAATTTCATGTAAATAATTTAATGACCAAGTAAGCATATGATTGTTTTAATGTCCTTTAATGTGTTCCTTGGTTGAACAACATGCTGTGCTCCGTGTGCACGGTAATGTAAACAAGTTGATGCACGCTTCATCACTCGCTCGTCATTCTTACACCCACCCAGCCGTCCAAGGACACGTTTGCTGGCCGTCCATACCAGTTGTACATTTTTGGGTAACAATTGTATTCTTGTTAATTGCTTTAATGTATTATTCTAGCATTGTTAATGATATACCATACATAAATCACTTATTAATCAAATTAGTTTTTGAGCTGCAGCAAAGAATGACAAATTGACATGCTCTGGTCTCCCTTGTCTAGTTAATGATGGCCGTCTTTTCAATCTCTAACGCTTGCTCGTCATTCCTCACTAATTAAATGTATAAATATATTACTATAAGATTAATGCAGGCAAATGGATAGCCCTGGGTAACATAAAGACAAATGGGTAGCCCTGGGTTAAAGACACATGGGTAGCCCTGTGTTACATAAAGACAAATGTGCAGCCCTGAGTTACGTAAAGACAAATGGGTAGTCCTGGGTAACATAAAGACAAATGGGTAGCCCTGGGTAACATAAAGACAAATGGGTAGCCCTGGGTTACGTAAATACAAATGGGTAGCCCTGGGTAACATAACGACAAATGGGTAGCCCTGGGTAACATAAAGACAAATGGGTAGCCCTGGGTTACGTAAAGACAAATGGGTAGCCCTGGGTAACATAACGACAAATGGGTAGCTATGGGTAACCTAAAGACAAATGGGTAGTCCTGGGTTACGTAAAGACGAATTGTTAGCCCTGGGTAACATAAAGACAAATGGGTAGCCCTGGGTTACCTAAAGACTAAGGGCTGACGGTGGGCCACAAAGAGACAAATGGCGCACGGTTGGTCGCACACAGCCAAATGGCTAATGTATGACTAATTCCATATCGAAAAATGAATAACTCCCACTCATGTATTTAAAACCAGTTGATCGTTTCTTGAGAGAAGTGTGGGTGACCTGAGGTGGTTGACCTAAGCTTTCGATTATGTGGTGCTACTATTAAGTACAAGGGAGTCGGTAAAAGAATATTGTCCGTTTGTTTCCATCTGTACTACCAGTAGTTATCAGTAGCAGTTCCTCTCTACAAATTTACATCGACTCTGACTCTTAGAATATCTTGACCTTAGAGTAATGCCTCCCACTGCTGGTGGTGTTGAGTGTGGCCAGTCGATGGACGGAGGCGTGTCTTTAATTCGCTTGGAATAGATAAGTATGAGCTCGAATTAAGTGAATATCTCATGTGACAAATGTTACCTCTTTATAATAGATATATTTATGTTTTTGTTTTTTTTTACTTATTTTATAATAAAAAGAACAATTTTGAATAGCGTGTGAAAATGTCTTCGTTTAATTCTGCTTTTTAACGAGTCTACTTCAGATTCTGTGGATGGGAATAGAAAAAAATGTAAAACAAAATTAATTAACTCTATATTTAACTTTAAAGATTTGATTCGCGAATGTGAAAAAAACAACAACTTTTAAATTCTAGCAGATGCTCTGGAAAATACATTTAAATATGGCTACATATATAATATACTTAAAGTTTTAAAATATCAAATTCATGTGTTACAGAGGCCCACGTTTACATTTGATGTGTAATATTCTCTGCGTTTCCTAAAGTGTTCCACCACAGAACAAAGAAAGAGTCTTGGTCCATCGAGGATGGTTGCCGTGATGTATGCCCCAAGCAGCCCTCGCTTACTTTAGAACCTCTATCAAATCTATTTACATAGCCAACAAGAACCTTAAGATAAAAGGCAATATTCAACCGACTCACCCTAAGATGTCATGTTTCTGACTGCTCCCCTCCTCGTGTTTTCCTTTGGTCAGCAGCTTGTCCACGCCTCGTGTTTCCTTCCAGCCCGCGGGATGCCTTCCCAGCATGATCATGTGCTTGTAACTTTTCTGATCAGATATGGAAATACTTCAAACTATGGCTTTAAAATAAAAAAATCTTTACATTAACGTCGCTTTTGTTCGTGTATTTCTGGCTGGCAAAATATTAGGACGGCCAATTGACCCACGTCCCGTAAAACTATCGATCTCAAACTTGGCACATAGACTAATTGCTGATGACAACACATTCTAACAAATTTTCAGCCCCAGCCCCCCCCCCCCCCAAAAAAAAAACCCCTTTTACCTTGCTTTTTTTTTTGGCCAATTGACCCACGGCCCGTAAAACTATCGATCTCAAACTTGGCACATAGACTAATTGCTGATGACAACACATTCTAACAAATTTTCAGCCCCAGCCCCCCCCCCCCCAAAAAAAAATCCGCTTTTCCGGTTGTTGTTTTTTTCCAAAGAGAGGATGAAAGAAATATAATGCCACTGTTTTCATGAAATAGAATTCCCGATAACTGCGCTAAATGAAATTCGTAAAAATAACGCAAGCGCGTTTGGTGCGTAATATTTTCTTTCGTTTTTCTGAACTATTTGGTGCAAAAAATAAATCTGCTGTGTAAAAGCGAAATGAGACATTAAAATATCAATATAAAGTAAGATAATAACAAATGCACAGAAAGGATTTGTAAGTAAATCGTTGTTTTTAGGGGGGTTTTTTCACATTTATAGCATTACATTTCAGCAGGCGTGTCTCGTTTTACTCTATAGCCCGCAACACAATGCTTACTTTGTAGAAACGCTAATGGATATGTAAATTAATTAACTCAGGCATGATGTCTCAGGCACGATCTCTCCGGCATGATGTCTCAGGCACGATCTCTCAGGCACGATGTCTCAGACGCGATGTCTCAGGCATGATGTCTCAGGCACGATGTCTCAGGCATGATGTCTCAGGTACGATGTCTCAGGCACGATGTCTCAGGCATGACGTCTCAGGCACGATGCCTCAGGCACGATGTCTCAGGCATGATGTAACAGGCATGATGCCTCAGGCATGATGTCTCAGGCACGATGTCTCAGGCACGATGTCTCAGGCACGATGTCTCAGGCATGATCTCTCAGGCACGATGTCTCAGGCATGATGTATGAGGCATGATGTCCAAGGGTGGGCTACACTTTTATACCAAGTATCCCGTTGCATACAAGTTCATATTCAGTAACTTACCTTGAAATCTTTGAGCTGCTCATCCCTGTCGTAGGCTGACTTCTTGAATCTCAACATCTCCAAAAACTTGACATTCTCTAAGGCTATCAGTGAGTCGTAGTTCACTCTCTCCCGTCGTCTTTTTGTCGACCTGGTACGTTGGATTTTTTTTATTTTTTTTTTTTTGGGGGGGGGGGGGGTGGGGGGGCGGAGAACGAATAAGTAACGGTTAATGTTCGGTCCATGTTATAATTGGATTGACTAGCTCAGTTAGATGCTGAACATAGCTCAATCCTTTTTTTAAAAAACTACGACAGAAAAATTAAAACCTTGTCAAATTTAAGTAAACCGGTTTAGAATGCCCCCCAAACCCCACCAACAAAAAAACAAAAAAAAAACTGAATTTTGAAACATAAGCAGCAGAACTGGGGTAAGAAAATATTCACTTTTATTAGTTTGACTGAACCGCCGTAGTGGTGTGCCAATAGTGTTGTGCATGGCCCAAGTAGCCCCCTTTACAATCACTTCCACCAAGTCCCTGAGCGGGGTGCCCCGTGGGGGGGGGGGGTTGCTTTAGCATAAAGACGTTTGTTCGAAAGCCGGAGTTTTATTTCTCATTGTTGACTGCCCTGCTATTACCATCTTTATCAAACACTCATTGTTGAATGCCCTGCTATTACCACCTTTATCAAACACTCATTGTTGACTGCTCTGCTATTACCATCTTTATCAAACACTCATTGTTGACTGCCCTGCTATTACCACCTTTATCAAACACTCATTGTTGAATGCCCTGTTATTACCACCTTTATCAAACACTCATTGTTGACTGCTCTGCTATTACCATCTTTATCAAACACTCAATGTTGAATGCCCTGCTATTACCATCTTTATCAAACACTCATTGTTGAATGCCCTGCTATTAACCACCTTTATCAAACACTCATTGTTGACTGCTCTGCTATTACCACCTTTATCAAACACTCATTGTTGACTGCTCTGCTATTACCATCTTTATCAAACACTCAATGTTGAATGTCCTGCTATTACCACCTTTATCAAACACTCATTGTTGAATGCCCTGCTATTACCACCTTTATCAAACACTCATTGTTGACTGCCTGCTATTACCACCTTTATCAAACACTCATTGTTGAATGCCCTGCTATTACCACCTTTATCAAACACTCATTGTTGACTGCTCTGCTATTACCATCTTTATCAAACACATGTAGCACTTGACAAACTATTTTCAAGCTTTCCCCAAGGTTTCAGATTGATTTTTTTTTTTTGCCATAACTCAACGATAAACCAGATTCTACTAATACTACTTTCCCTATCAGTTCAAGAACCACGCTACCCAAAACGGCGATATTTAAATGAGGTAGATGAGATTCTTTTATTTAAAAAAAATAAATAGTCCGACGCTATAGAACTTGACACAATTAGTGACAGTCTTGACTTTAAGAGCCATTATGTAGATTTTGTAACACAAAGTGAAGCAAGCTGGTACAGTCTGATTGATTGGGGGCATAAATTATTTTTAAAAATATATTTCAGTCCAAAGTTTGAGGGAAAGAATTCGCCCAAATCGAGCTGATCTTAAGTATATATGATGAGGAAGGTGACATATATTACTAAAATAGGATTGCTTCAACGCAATCTTACAGTTGAGAGTGAACACTTACACTCCAGTTTTGTCCATGACCTTCGCATCCATATGGCAATCCACGCAAGGCTTGCTGCTTTGTATGCGGGCAAAGGCTTGAGTCAGGTGACGTTCAGCTTGAATCTTTTCGAATTCTTGCATCGTCATCATCTGGCCAAGAAGAACAGTGTAATGATATTAATGCTCAATATTTTAATGTGAACCAGGCCAACATCATACATACTTTTAAAGTTCTTCACGTGGAGTTATGAGAAATATCAGGGTTAACCTTCAGGTGCAATTGTTTGTGGACAGTAAAACAAAAGCAGTATGTTATATTCCATAAATACACAACAAAATGAATGCATTACAAAACTTGGCAGGTTAGATGAAATCTCTTATAGATATGACGCTTCTGGTGGACTGATTCCATTTCCGGCTGAAGCTGGCTGCTTCCTATTCAGCGTATTTGCTCTGAGATTATTTTCTTAGCTTTTGCTATCTGCTTTGTGTTTTGTGACGTATATGTGGGGGGTTGTGGGGGGGGGGGGGATGGCGCTGTTTCCGTATAGCGCGCAAAATATATTTTTTGTTTTTGTTTTAAATAACGCAACTGCGTTTGGCGCGAAATATTTTCTTTTCGGATAATGAAATCGTCTCAGTTTAAATATGGTGTAATTAATATTCGGTTTACAAGGGGTTGGGACAAAGGAATATTTAGTATAGTTCATGGGCGTGAAATAAAAAATGTGCAGTGGCGTATCATTGAAGGAAGGGGTGTAGCAAAAATTGGGATCCTTGAATGTGAGTTACTCGAGTTCATGTTTTGTCAAGTAACTTTTGGCAAGTAAACTCATGGCTATCGCCAATGTTTGGTGAGCTACAACTAGAAAGTATGGTAAAATATTGTCAGAATATACCTTAACTGCCTTGGGTCTCTTCTTGGCGTGTTCGCGCAATTTCAGAGCTGAAAATAGAAACAACAGGGGCTTATAATAGTGATAAAGACAGGATAACTTAATGTCTTCAGCTTATGAGATGTAACCAAACCCCACCCCCCCCCCACCCCCACCATCCCCACACAAAAAAATTACTATAATAGTTTTTATTTATTTTGTCATTTTATTTTATGTCATCGATTGAGGAAATGGGAGATTGATTTTTATAAATGACTTCTTCCAAAACATATTTTCAAAAGAAAAGAGATAATCAGGGAATCGAGCACAAACCTAAGAGTTGTAGGTAAGCATTCTTACAAATATCCCATGTTTTTAGTAAAAACTTTTAGTTGTAGAAATCAAAGCTGGTTCAAGTAAGGTTACAAGTAAGACAATGAGCAAGGAGTAATCCCAACTTAATGTATTATTAAATACGATCATCTACTACCTGCATAACTGTGTCGTAATTTGGTTAGATTTTAAACAAAGAAAAAATAAAATATATTGTCACTCAACCTATATCAAATTGTTAAAAAAAACTCTTTCAAAATTTCTTTTCCCGTTATCTTCTCTAAAGCGAAACAATTTTTTAACCCCCTACGTTCCAGTGAAATAATATATGTTCGCGAAGTAGAATTTTAATATCTACGTTTAGCTCATTGAACTTTCAGAATGGTATCTGGCATACGACTGTCCAGGAATGTTAGAAAACTTTTACAAGGCTTACGCTCCATGCGCTGCCTGTTCAACTGTGTGATGGCCTCGATCTCGTTGGCGGCCTTCACCTCTCCGCGCGACGTCACGTGCGAGAGGCTTCCGTCCGGAGACGTTTTCGTGCGTTCCTTCAGGGCATTCTCCACGCTCGCCCCATCTCCTATTCCCACGGATAAGACTCTGCCACGCCTCTCCTTGCCCTCACCGTCCCCCGTCCCTCTTGGTGACGTGTTCTGCTTGCCTCGGGTGAAGCCGCTGGGCTGACCCGACTGACGTCCGAATCGATCTGTCTGAGTGAACGACGATGTGCGCGGGCTCGACTGAACCTGTGCAAACAGCTGGCGACCGCCCTTCACTTTTTCGTTCAAGTCATTGTCGCAAATCGTTCCCTGAGATTTTAAAATCCTTCTTGGGGTCAAAGTGACCGCCCTCCTGGGGCTGGATCCGTCCTGAACAGCTTGTGACTTTGTTACTTGTTCTTCAGCATTCGGACTGCTCAGCATGCGTGTACCAGAGTTAGCGCGGAGTGCGATTCGCGTGAAACCGTTTTCTGTCTTTATTTCCCGTTTAAATTTGGGTCCAACGTTTTCTGCTTTACCAACAGGTGGAGGGTGTGGTTCGTGGCACTGGTCAATTGTGGGCTTTTTTGATGGGAGCACAACTGTTTTACTTCTGCCTGGTGATTTCGTCGTAACGTCAGCTTGCTGGAGAGTTTGATCGGTTAAGTCTAAAACCCCGGCATTTTTTTGGGGAGCTTGGATGCCCCTTCGTTCTTCGTGAGCAGGGTCAAAGCCTCGTGTTTTTCCATCGTTGGACCTTGAACTAAGTGGCCGGGCTATCAACGGTCTGTTTACTTGAATGGCGTGCGTGGTTCCTGAACTGTGGGGCCTCAAGCCAGTCAGCATCGTGTCGTTCACATTCTGGACGCCCTCGGGCATACAAATTCTGGGAATCAAGTTACCCATAGATCCGATGCCATTCTCTTTTTGTTTGTTTATCGTAACGATGGGAAGGTCTACGATTATCATAGAGGCATCACTCGTGCTTGTTCTATTTTTGCCCGCTAATGAAGCCTCGCTATCGGAAATGCCGCCACTTTTACCGCCGCCGGCACCGCTTGTTGAAGCAGAGCTTGTCATACTGGGCGGACCATCTTTTGTGAAGATACCATCGGTGCGAGAATTCGGCCTTGTGCCTGACCGAGACATAATGATGTCTATGTCAGTAGAGGAAGTGGTACTCGCTGACCGGTGTCCGCCCATGGAGATCCCTTGCTTGGAGCTAACTAAACCTGGGGAGCATGTACCGCTACTGGACTTGGGCACACCCTCAGTTGACATTGACATGCTTGCGGATCTTCTAGAAATATTGACCGATGGTGGTTTTGACAAGCTCTTAACGTTAGGTCCATTCGACGGCGTGACACTCTTCCCTGAAGATGACAAGTCACAGTTGATAGCATCCCTGGGAGTGGACTTACTGGAAAGGCTCTCTTCTTTGCCATTTTCTTCACTGGGGCTCTTCACCAAAGAAAGCAACTCGGATGTGCACTTGTCAGCAATCTCATGGAGCTTGCCTTCCTCCATCTCTATCGTTGGCGTCTGGCACATGTCTGAAATCTTGTTTAGCCAGAGATCAGTCGCCTCTAAGATAACCTTTGCTGCAGGGTCCAACTCGTAGCGAGACTCCGCCAAGGTCACGTTGTCAGCTGCGGTCATAGACCTGGTCTGTAGGTGAGACGGTTTAGGGGATGTCCGGGCTGGCATCGGTGTCGTGGGGATGTTGGCATTCGTCATTGGTGTAACATCGACATGGAGATGCTGATTTGCTTCCTTATCACATTTTTCTTCCTGAGACGCTTCCTTTTGATGGCAAAATTCCCCATCATCATAGGAAGACATTCCACTTGTAACTACATGTGGAACTATCCCTACAGCCAATGAAAATACTTCCGGTAAGATGCCTTGTGTTGTGCCAGCAAGGCTCGGGTGACATTCTGAGTGACGCAGAGCTGCCTCGTGCGCGTCTTCTAAACTATTTGAATCCACTCCGGCATAAAAAGAAACTGCTGTTTCAATGTCACTGTCACGCTTGACTTCACGTGGTGTATCTGTGTCTATGTTGTCAAACCAATCTCCACAGGGGGTATCCGTGTCCATGTTTTCAAACCCATCTACACGAGGTTTATCCGCGTCCACGTTCTCAAACCCATCTACACGGGTTGTGTCAGCGTCTATGTTGACACGCTCGGGTTCACAGGGTGATTTAGCGTCTGTGCTGCCAAACCAATCTTCACGTGGTGTTCCAGTGTCTATGTTATCTCCAACATCTTCACGGGCTATAGTTGAGTCTATGTTGTCACTCTCAGGTCCGCGAGGTGTAGTTGGGTCTGTGTTTTGAGTCTCAGCTCCATGGTGTGAAATATTGTCTATGTTCTCAGACTCGGCTCCACCAGGGTTGTCCGATTCGCCTGCATTTTGAAGAAACCCGCTTTGATCTCCTTCCCCTGATATTGTTCGCGTTTCGTAAAGATCAATGTGTACATGCACTTCGACCACATTCATGTCCGCATTCAACAGTGACTCAGCCTGAGATGGCCCAGCCGTGTTCTCACTTTTAGACGGCATGCTTTCATCTCTACCACCCACTACCTTAAGGATGTCGTCATCATCATAGAAATCTTCTTCTGAATGCCATTGCTCCACTTCCTGGTCTAGTGCGTCAGCAGTGATGAATTGTTCTGGAGACAGGCGACCAATAGTCTCTGTGTTAAATGCGCACGGGTCTGTTGCCTCAACAACGGCAGTGTGGACGGTCTTGCTAACTGATGTCTCTGCGTCACATGCAACACGTTCCACTATTTGGTCCATCAAACTTTTTTCCATAGGCTGATTCAACCTCACATCTTCAGGGATGCCAGACCGTTGGTTGCCAGGTTGGACTAGGGCTTCTCCGGCCTCATTAGTGTATTCAATCTGATTTTCTTTACCTTGAATTTTCCCACTTTCTTCTTGTATTCTTTCTTCGCATGACACGCGTATATTTGCAAGCATGGCATCAAAATCTTCCAGCCCGTTCTGTTTGTCAGGTGTCGCGGGCCTACATGGGGGCTTCAGTTCCAGGCTACTATTAGATAACCCTCGAGTTGGCCCCCCAAATTCATTTGGAGTTTTAGTGTCACTGTCAACAGAATTGTAAGTGTCGGTAATATCGTCGTAAACACTAATTATATCTCCAATAACATCCTCAAAAGAAGATCCTGTCGGAAATTTCTCCTCATCCTTATGTTCCACATCCCAAAGGTTACCATTTATTTCAGCAGCGTTATCCTGACAATTATCGATAATGGTGTTAACATTTTCTGGAGCCGATGCACCAAGCTCACCAGACTCATTTTCGTTTCCGCAGTTTGTATGATGGTCTTTCCCGATAGTGGCTTGATCTCCTTCTTCAAAATGTCCAAATCTAACTTTTTTTTCTTTTAAAACTATTGCATTCGCATCAAAGTTTATCTCTTTACGTACTCTGCTGATTTTTTCTTGATGACTTATGAAATTTTCACCACCTTCAAAATCAAAAAACGCATTACTGTTTTCTTTCTCCTTTCGGCCAGTAACAAGTTCTGATTCATATTCTTGATATAGAAACTTTTCTTCCCTGTCTATGCTTACGTTTTCATCGCCTGCTCTGGCTTTAACGGTCTCGGCCGGAAATAACTCATCAGCCAGATCTACGTCACAATCGTTAGCGGGCTGATCCGATGCAGGTTTCGTGTCATCCCTTCTAGGACCTTCCCTCCAATCACCTTGACCTTCTAAACCGGTTCCGTGGCGTTTCGTGACATCGTCTAGACCAGGCTCATTTCTTGACCGTTCGTAAACCGGATACAATGCATTATATTCCCCTTCATCCCCACAGCTCACTTCATCACCAGCTCTACATTTCTCATCGCCACAGCTCACTTCATCACCAGCTCTACATTTCTCATCCCCACAGCTCACTTCATCCCCAGCTCTACATTTCTCATCCCCACAGCTCACTTCATCACCAGCTCTACATTTCAGACCACATTCCTCCAACACACCGATTGATGACTTAAATGTTTGTAAAGAAGTTGCCATGGTGACCGGAGCGCCATCTGGCATACCATAATTCTCATCGAGTGTATCGTTTGATTCTTTTCGTGTCCTTACCTCAACAGTGGAGCAGATTTCATCTTTTTCTTCAACAGCACAGCTGCCTAAACCATCTGTGCCTTGGTCTTCGTTAATTCTTTTATAATCACTCCCTAGAAGATATTCTATTTCATCGTGTTCTTGGCAAATATCCGAATAGTTGATATCATAATATCGTTCTTGGACAACATCCAAGTCATTGTTTGGCTCAATATGTTCTTGGGCAGACTTTACATTATTTAATTGGGCTGAATGTACGTGCGAAACCTCGGCATCATTCATAGCGTGCACGGCTTCTAGGGCATTTTCTAGATAACTGACAGTGTCTTCGTGTCTTAGGGAAGTCTCTACGTCACTGACAGGGTCTTCATGTCCTATGGCAGTCTCTACATCATTGACAGCGTATTCGTCTTCGTTTTCTCGGTAGATATCTACATCATTGACAGGGTCTTCAGTTTCGAGGGCAGCCTCTACATCATTGACAGTGTCTTCGTGTTCTCGGTAGATCCCAACATCATTGAAAGGATCTTCGTTTACTATGGCAGTCTCAACATCATTGACAGGGTCTTTGTTCTCAATGGCAGTCTCTACATCATTGACAGGGTATTTGTTCTCTATGGCAGTCTCAACATCATTGACAGGGTCTTTGTGCTCTACGGCAGTCTCAACATCATTGACAGGGTCTTTGTTCTCTATGGCAGTCTCTACATCATTGACAGGGTCTTTGTGCTCTATGGCAGTCTCAACGTCATTGGCTGTGTCTTCGTGTTCTTTATCACATTCTAAATGACTGACGGAATCATTTTGATCTTGGGCAACCTCTAAATCTTTGGCAGTGTCACAATGTTCTTGTTCTACCTCTGAGTCACTATAACGGTCATTCTCATCTTTTGTTAACTCTAAACGATAGTGATCAACAATTTGAACATGATAATCTTTGCACCGTGGAAATTCCTCATTCGCAGATGCGGCATCAATGGATCTCGTCATACTTTGTGCTTCTGTTAAATTCTCTAGTTCTTGTTGCGGTGCCCAATTTTCACCGCCGATATCAGCTGCATCGCTAACGTCATCATACATCTTTTCTTCCGAAAAATTTGCAATTGGTACATCGCAGTATACGTCATCACGGACTTTACTTTGAATTCTTGTCACAGCGTAAGTCCCATCAGTCTCACTGTGTTCACCCTCTTTGACAGAAAGGAGGAATTCTTCATTGACATGTTCCTGATCCTTTTGCGAGTTTGTAACACGCTCTGTGAGTTCATTGCCTGCACAGCTTCCATTAATTACTTGGAGTTCGGCCTCCGAGTTGTCCTTATTTAATTCTTCATCATGACATCCTTGACTGTGAAGATTGATTTGATGTCGATCAAGGCATTGGCTGTCTGCAGTAACATCATCGCGCAGTTTGTCATCGTTGATGGTGTCGTGCTCATCTGAGGTATCTAAGACTACTCTATCTTGAGCTGCTTCTCCGTTTTCAGCTATACCAAAGTTTCCATGGTCGTGTTTTGGTCGTATTGTGTCCATCCTCTCTGTCTGGCTTTCTCTAGTTTGGGGAATAAACGCACACTCGTAGAGATTTTCCCTGAAACATGTTTCTGATGGGTGTGCACCATCAAGATGGGTGGATGCATCAGAAGAAGACTGATTGCATGCTCTGAAGTCCATTGATTTGAGCTCAGTGCTAGTCACATCTGAAAGATTCAAGTCCACTTTTTGAGTACACACTTCTATCAAATCTTCAACACCATTGTGATCGACAGATGACTCATCCATAATCAACTCATCGTCTGAAGCCACGCTGTCGGCCTTGACACATGCTTCTAAGTTATCATTATCCTGAAACCGGTTGTCGCCATTTTTAGACGCCACATCTGCTACCAGTGAAAAATCTTCCAGACTTTTGTGATCTTCATCAAACCTGTCTCCAATAAACACGCTCTCTGAAGCCACACCACTTACAACAACATTGTTTGCCTCAACACATGCCTCTAAGGTGTCATAGCCTTGAAAACGGTTCTCACTAACTTTAGGCCCCACGTCTATTGGCGGTGGCGAATCTTCAACACCAACAGTGCTGTGGCGGCTCTGTGATACGCCACATTCATACATGTCTGCGGTAGCTGAGGTGTTGTCAGGTAAATCCTCTGGCCAAGAGTCTACCTTACGATCCGTCAAACTAAAGCATTGTCGATGAGGTGGTGTTGTAGTATGTTCTAGTGGATTGATATAAACCTCATTGCATTCTTCTTCTCCAGAGTCACCAGCAAGACTTAATGCAAATGTTTGTGAATTATTTTCGTAAGGGTGCGGCTCAACGTCTCCATACGAATTTCTCTTGTCGGTTTCCGTGCGCACTGAACACAATATTCTTGCGTTTTCTTCCACATCTTTTTGGCAGCTGTCGTGGCAACTTTCCGTGCATGAGATTTGATCTTGATTGTATTCATTCTGGCTATTTAATTCTAGTTCAAATGTTTCCATGGTTTCCTTCTGTCCAAAGACAAAGTTATTTTCATCGTCGTTTCCAAGTCTACATTCATCAACTGGGAATGTCTCCTCGTGCAACCGTCCGTCATGATGATGATCTCTTTCTGTCGGCGTCGTGCTACTTTTGGCACCACCGTATGTCATATTGACCACTGACATCGACCAATCGTATTCATCATCACAAATTGGTTTACCAGACAATTCTTCTAAGCCGGAGCACATCCTCCTGGAGGAATCCGCCAAAACATCGTCAACATTGGAAACATGGTGGATGAACGGTTCCCCAACATCGTCGTGGAAGCTACTGGTCGTGTTGTAAACACCCGTCAAGGACTCCAACGGACTCAGCAGCTCATCGTCCTTGGCCTGAACGCTGGCATTGGCTTGGGTGTCGCATTCCATGAGATGGTCGTCCGACTGAATGGAGCTGGACTGGGGTGAGGACAGGCAGGCCTCGCCGTCAGTTTTATCGGGCATGTCATCGCTAAGCGATGCGTTGTTACAGCTCACCGAGTTTGTAGCATTGCTCGACTTCTCTGTTGATCGGGACATTTCTCGGTCGTAGGACGCATGTTCCGGGGATGCAACCTCCAGCTCATCAAAACTATTTGGGCCCATGCCTCTGTCTCTAACGCCGTTGATAACTTGTTCTAAGAGCGCGTCCGCATCCTGCTCCGTTCTCTCGCCGAGAACGTTTAAAGGCTCCCTTACCAAAACGTAGTCTAAACTCCTAAAGTCGTGTTCAGCCGAGGCCATATCTTGATCGTCTTGGCTGGCGTCATCGCTGACAGACGCGCTGCCGGATGGGCTGTTTTTGTCGACGTTTCCATTAACCAAATCGTCTTGGGAATCCGTGCGATCCTTGTCAGCGGAAACGTCATGGCTCGGTAGGGCAACATTGATACCATCACCAACCAGGCCTATGGGAGTGACGTCAATAGTTTTCAAATTTAAAGAAATTTTCACTTCCTGTCTCAGAGAAGATGAGGCAGTCGCCATACTCTCAGCTGTCGTGTCGTCATCTTGACTGTTGGGAATCTCGGCTTCGTCACTGCTGCCGGCAGAGCAGACGTAGTCGCTGTAAATGATGTCGGAAATCTTCAAGCAGGGCTGCTGCTGTTGTTGGTGTCTCTCGTGAATGCTTTCTCCAGAATCCGTGAGAAGATCTGCCAAGAGTTCGGGCCTGGCCGCCGTCATCAATGTTTGGCGCGCTGGATTCATAGGATTCCTTACCGCATTTGTTACGGGCGCGGCGGGTGCGTCGAGCGGAATATCAAAAGTCGGTATTGGTGGAACTACCACCGGCTGGACCTCTGGAGCGATCGGCAAAACTGAGCCACCGGCAACAGGTGCTTCTCTTGCCTGGAGCACTGTGGGAACAGGCCCGGCGAGCGTATCGGGTAGCACTGCAGGGTCAACATCTGAACTTGGCTCCAGGTCGAAGACGAATTCAAATTCATCCTCGTCGACTAAACCCCCTACATCATCAGGCAGGCCGTAGTCGACGACAGCTGGACGATTGGGTTGCCCTGTCCGACCGGAAGCTCTCCCTCGACCGCGTCCATTGTATTGCCTATCAGTGCGGTCATTTTCACGATTGACGTTTACGTCATGCGGTCCAGCTGCAGGAGGGGTCCGATCGGTGGGTTCTAACGATTCCCCATTGTGATCACTCCCAGCAGGCCCAGCAGGCCCAGCTGGGGTCTCCTCTCTGTTGTCTACGTTGTCTGCCTCAGTGCCAACCTCATCGTCCTCATCGTCCTCACCATCCTCACCATCCTCACTTTGCTCTAAGTCCACACTTTTCTCGTTGTCAGAATCGTTGTTAAAAGCGTTATTTGAATTGGAGTCGCCTCGGCTTGAACTCCGTTCTGAAAAAAATATCAAGAAATTTAATTTGCAAAGAAAATCCCATAGTTAATATGTCATGTGGTCTAAACTGTGTCAACCCCACGCTGGAAATCAATCCCCACCAAAGGCCAAGTCAAGCAAAAACAACACCAGCACGCCGGGTAGATGGGACCCGTTAACCTTGGCTGGCAACTCATCTAAGAGAAGGAAACTCTGAAATCAAAACCCGGAGATGAAGTCCCGTAGGCGGATACATGAATGCAATGAAAAATTCCGACAGCTCCCCGCGACGCTACTGGTGTCAAGCTGTATCACCGACATATGGTGTTCCCCTTGGGTTATCCAGGTGTGGGGAGAGAGGCGAGTTCCCGTTTAGAGAATCCGACAGCTCCCGCGACGCTACTGGTGTCAAGCTGTATCACCGACATATGGTGTTCCCTTTGGGTTATCCAGGTTTGGGGGGAGATAGGCGAGTTCCCGTTTAGAGAATCCGCTTAACCTCCTGCAGAAAAACAAAATGCCAAACCTTTTGAAGTCGTCGTACAGCATCGTCACATCGTGACGGACGGATGCCAGGTAAACGCTTGATCATAACTAAGTGTAGGAACTTTCTACTTCCCTAGTGCAGTCAAGGGCGGGACTGTTAACCTATTTTTAAGTTGACCACCAACGCATTGCGTCCCATTTGTTGTTCTACAAATACAATTATGGCCAAAATTGAAAATATGTACGCTTCTAAGAATACCTGCAGGCGATGATAAAAGAGTTGGGGTTGATTCCAGGAAGGATCATGATAACGAGCTCTCGCGTTTACAATGAACCAAGTCACACACAAAATAGCTGTGTGGCCTCATGTCGTCGCAAATAACTAAGTCAAAAGGAAAGTAATAATCTACTTGAGTAATCTACCCTTCATCTTCCGGTTTTCCCGAGGCTTCAGTATATTTTAACTTACTATTTAATCATCTTTAATTAAAGGGATTTATTGTGAAGCAAGAAATGGTTGGAATTTCCAGGCCTAAAAATAGATTTATTTCAGTCAAATAGAACAACAAAGTATGCTTTCAAATGGACGGGGCAGTGAAAAATTATGTTTAGAATAACAAAAACTATAATTAAGCAGTTTAAAGGGCATTTATATGTAAGACTTATACATTTTTAAAAAGCACCAAAAAAAAATTAACAAATGAGATGTTTATTGAGTTTTCAATAAATATTCAAAATCTTTGACATCTTATTTCGTGGTACAAGAGTTATGTGACAGCCCTTGACACATTTGCGTCTTTGCCTCAGGCCCTCCGACCCCCCCCCCCCCAGTTCATGATACCCTCACTGAGTGGCCTTTGCAACCAGTGAACTATCTTCTTCAACACCAGGAACAGAAACATTGCAAATCCCCTCTAAATGCATAGGATGCCAGAATGATCGATAAATTGAAGAAGAAGAAAAGCGAAGCTTAAAGATAAAATATTAACTGTATAAATTAGTATAAACATTACAGCTACACACAAAGTAGTGGGAAGCTGTATAGGGCTTCACTCAATCTAGTAATTACACAGCACCATTCTTTACCTTTAGTGTCAGAGAGCACGTAGTCGAAATGACTGCCCACAACTCGACCCACTTCTAAAGATATGGCCTTGTCGACCTCAGGGTTGGTCTTCCACTCGACTCCCTTCCCTTCATGTCGCTCCCAGATCGCTCCAGCCCGAGAGTGCTTCCTTGCAATGTGTTTGCTAGACATCAGTCCTCTCGAGCGCCATCACGCCACAGCTCAGTCGCGGTGCGAAATGTCTTCATTCTAGGATCTTTAGAATTTCACTGATAAGTGTGTGGAGCGATGTGGGGGGGGGAAAAAACGAGCTGAGAAAAGACAGCCTGCAGTTTGACAAGATAAGGCGAGGAAACCCTCCCTTCAGATGACGTCATGAGGAGAAATGGTGCGCACTAAGGTGCACACACCTTTCCGGTGGAGTTATATTTAGATTGCATGCGCATGGGAATAAAAAAAAAAAGAAATTTGCTCATAAAGGCCTCATAAAATGCCAGTTAAATAACTAATTTATTTTCTAAACATTTAATTTTTTAAAATGTATCAATCATACTCATACCATATTTAAATTATTTTACGATACAAGTAACACGCATTCCAAATTTTTAGATCCCCTGTGCTTTGGAAGGGGGGGGGGGAGGGGGGAGCCAGTTACAGTCTACAATAATTTAATCTGTAATCGTGTAGTGTATACACAGTTCCTCAGTCAAAATTGACCATGGCCACCTTAATCCTCGTGGAGGATTGAAAGTGACCCGCTTTGTGACTTGGATTTAAGTGAGGAAGAGTTGCGCGAATCGTCAGCCTATCACTCTCTCGGCCATCACCTTTAGAACCAGCAGCAAGACACCGACAAGACGGCTGGGGGACGGGGCTAGAGGTTGTGAATGACCATGGTGCTCTGCGTGTCTTGCCACGCCCTCGGCGTTGCTGTCTCCACTGATTTTATCTCCCGTTGACCACGTTACTGCAACTAACAGAATCTCGTCAAAGAAATGACGTGGAGCACACACCCGTATTCATTTTTTACCATTTCAACGCCCTTCAAGGTTGTGATGCATCATCGAAAATGAGTATATTTTAGATTTGATCGTATCATTAGAACGCTATAAGATAGATACCTGTTGATTTCAAAAGTAATTTTTGAATGGTAGGAAGACATCTCTTACAGAACATAAATTGTTTTAAATCATTTTTATGTTACGATAACTTTTTTGAGAAATAAAAACATTCAGATCGGGTAATGAATTAACTTAGAGAATCATTGGTTTCAGGCCCAATTGGTGTATGTAAAAATTGGATTTAATTTCGGTATTAAATACACTCCTTTTTTTAAAAAAAACTTCTTTACTCTAATTTTTTTTTTTTTTTTTTTTTTTTTTTTTATTTTTTTTTTTTTTTTTGAATGTTACACTTACGTTCAATTAAACAAAATATATTTTTAAAAATAAAAAAAAATTATAAAATGAAACTCTTAAAAGGCTTTGATCAAATCAACTATTCACTCTCAAAAGTCAAGTTTTGGTATGAAGGAAGTCGTGGGGTTTCATGATATTAGATGGCTGTTTCCTTACATCATCGAATCACCATCGTCTTATAGAAATGGCTGGAACAACGAACAACTCTTTAAAAAATAAAATTCGACAACTTTTAGAACTTGCAGATTTTGCTTTATTTGAAAGCAAAATTGATTTAAAGGAAAAATTAAAAAAAAATAAAAATAAAAATGGTTACGCTACAGATGGAATGTTATTGTTATTCTTTCAAAGATTCACACATTTGTACAACTGTCCTTTTAAGTATTTTTGTGGGGGTTTTTTTTAATGTAAAACTCTTTAAAAAAAACTCAATTTGAACAAAAGTCTTGGTTTTTTTAGGGCTGCAGACAACAACATCATTAAATGTATAATCTGAAAACTGCAGACGAAATAGGAATGGTTCTTTTCATTTTATTCGTTTAACATTAAAATTGTAAAAAAGTTAGTAGCTAACAAAGACATTTTGACCTGGCCTTATCATCATAAAAAATACAAGAGTAGACCACTCTCGTCATTAAAAAGGCAAAGCATTTTGGTTGTGCGCCCAGCAATGTACAGATTGCAAAATATTATTATGTTTGTGACAAAATATGAAAGTTTTGATTATTCTATTGATTTATTTTAGATAAAGTTTTTTGATGTTTGATAATTCTCCTTTGTTTTGTTTTTTTTTTAAATTTATTTTTTCGTTTCGTTTTTAATTGTGATGTAATATTTTGGTGAATGTCTGCTCTTCAAGAATGGGAGGCTCGATGGATGTTTTGGTCACTGGCGTACACTCAACACGGTTTTTTTTTTAATGCAATATTAAAGAAGCCCTATGTTACGTCCTTGACCTTTGTTTCGGTGCATACGGTGGCTGTTTATTCCTGATCATCTCGTCAATTCTCTGAGTCTGAGAATGTAATATAAAGCATTAGTGAGAAGAAGTATAAAGCATTAGTGAGAAGAAATATAAAGCATTAGTGAGAAAAAATGTAAAGCATTAGTGAGAAGAAATATAAAACATTAGTGAGAAGAAATGTAAAGCATTAGTGAAAAGAAATATAAAACATTAGTGAGAAGAAATGTAAAGCATTAGTGAAAAGAAATATAAAACATTAGTTAGAAGAAATGGAAAGCATTAGTGAAAAGAAATATAAAACATTAGTGAGAAGAAATGTAAAGCATTAGTGAAAAGAAATATAAAACATTAGTGAGAATAAATGTAAAGCATTAGTGAAAAGAAATATAAAACATTAGTGAGAAGAAATTAAATGTAAAGCATTAGTGAAAAGAAATATAAAACATTAGTGAGAAGAAATATAAAGCATTAGTGAAAAAAAATATAAAACATTAGTGAGAAGAAATATAAAGCCTTAGTGAGAAGAAATATAAAGCATTAGTGAGAAGAAATGTAAAGCATCAGTGAGAAGAAATATAAAACATTAGTGAGAAGAAATGTAAAGCATTAGTGAAAAGAAATATAAAACATTAGTGAGAAGAAATGTAAAGCATTAGTGAAAAGAAAAATAAAACATTAGTGAGAAGAAATGTAAAGCATTAGTGAAAAGCAATATAAAACATTAGTTAGAAGAAATGTAAAGCATTAGTGAAAAGAAATATAAAACATTAGTGAGAAGAAATGTAAAGCATTAGTGAAAAGAAATATAAAACATTAGTGAGAAGAAATGTAAAGCATTAGTGAAAAGAAATATAAAACATTAGTGAGAAGAAATGTAAAGCATTAGTGAAAAGAAATATAAAACATTAGTGAGAAGAAATGTAAAGCATTAGTGAAAAGAAATATAAAACATTAGTTAGAAGAAATGTAAAGCATTAGTGAAAAGAAATATTAAACATTAGGGAGAAGAAATGTAAAGCATAGGTGAGAAGAAATGTAAAGCATTAGTGAGAATATATTTAAAACATTATTGAGAGGAAATATTAAACATTAGTGAGAAGCAACATAAAGCGTTAGTGAGAAGAATATGAAGCATGATTGATAATGAAATATAAGCAATGATTGAAAATTTAATATAAAGCATGATTGAGACGGAATATAAAGCGTGATTGAGAAGTAAATATAAAGCATCATTGATAAGTAGCTATAAAGCATGATATATAAGTAAATATAAAGCATGATTGAGATGGAAATATAAAGCATGAGTGAGAAGGCACTATAAAGCCTGATTGAGAGGGCAATGTAAAGCATGAGTGAGAAGGCGATATAAAGCATGATTCAGATGGAAATATAAAGCATGAGTGAGAAGGCACTATAAAGCCTGATTGAGAGGGCAATGTAAAGCATGAGTGAGAAGGCGATATAAAGCATGATTCAGATGGAAATATAAAGCATGAGTGAGAAGGCACTATAAAGCCTGATTGAGAGGGCAATGTAAAGCATGAGTGAGAAGGCGATATAAAGCATGATTCAGATGGAAATATAAAGCATGAGTGAGAAGGCACTATAAAGCCTGATTGAGAGGGCAATGTAAAGCATGAGTGAGAAGGCGAGATAAAGCATGATTCAGATGGAAATATAAAGCATGAGTGAGAAGGCACTATAAAGCCTGATTGAGAGGGCAATGTAAAGCATGAGTGAGAAGGCGATATAAAGCATGATTCAGATAGAAATATAAAGCATGAGTGAGAAGGCACTATAAAGCCTGATTGAGAGGGCAATGTAAAGCATGAGTGAGAAGGCGATATAAAGCATGATTCAGATGGAAATATAAAGCATGAGTGAGAAGGCACTATAAAGCCTGATTGAGAGGGCAATGTAAAGCATGAGTGAGAAGGCGATATAAAGCATGATTCAGATGGAAATATAAAGCATGAGTGAGAAGGCACTATAAAGCCTGATTGAGAGGGCAATGTAAAGCATGAGTGAGAAGGCGATATAAAGCATGATTCAGATGGAAATATAAAGCATGATTGAGAAGGCGATATAAAGCCTGATTGAGAGGGCAATATAAAGCATGAGTGAGAAGGCGATATAAAGCCTGATTGAGAGGGCAATATAAAACATGAGTGAGAAGGCGATATAAAGCATGATTCAGATGGAAATATAAAGCATGAATGAGAACAAAACACACGGCAAGATTGGGGAGTAGTGCGGTGTTTCATTAGTAAGGAGCAGTAAGGAGCAGTAAGGAGCAGTAAGGAGCAGTAAGGAGCAGTAAGGAGCAGTAAGGAGCAGTAAGGAGCAGTACAGAGCAGTAAGGAGCAGAAAGGAGCAGTAAGGAGCAGTAAGGAGCAGTAAGGAGCAGTAAGGAGCAGTAAGGAGCAGGCTCATTTGATATTTGGTAAATGTAAATAACAACGAGAACACAGATACAAAATAACAGCACATATTAATAGCTTCTCGGCACTTGAACTAGAGGTGGCCAAGTTCATCGTGTTAGATGTGCAGAGGGGTGTTCTTTGAATATATGGCACCCTATTTATACACGACTCTTCGCCTTCAATGTATAGATTTATTCAATGAATAGATTCATTCAATTTATAAATTCATTCAGAAATCCATTCAATGCATAACATTCATTCTATGTATGGCTTACTTCAATGTATAGATTCATTCATAGATTCATTCAATATATGGACTCATTCAATGTATAGATTCATTCATAGATTCATTCAATATATGGACTCATTCAATGTATAGATTGATTCAATTTACAATCACATTACATCCGTTCAAGTCAAAATAAATTTCCCACAACTTACTGCTAGTTTGACTTTTCTGTCTATCTCGTTCTGTTTGGTGGACAGATTGATCTTCAGTTTGACGGGCATCCATTGGCTCCAGTCAGCAGCGAACCTGCTACCCGTTAGCA